CATGCTTCAGCAATACATTTTGAGGAAACAGTTCAAGTTTAAGCAGAACATGCAACCTCAAAATAAATTCACAGAAAATACATGTACATACATGTACATAGACCTGCAACTGCAATGTAATAACACTGTTTGGCTGGTTGTATGCTTAAACTGGTTGGCAGAGTTTCATTTTGCCTTCTTTGGCAATTTTAGTGCATGGTGCAGTGGGGAACTGGTACAGCCTTGCTTCACTGAACATTTTTAGTACATGCATATTACACCAATTTTTCATCACTGCAAGAGCTTTTATGCAAAAAGGTTGTTGAACAAAGGAATTGTTCATCATTATCCATATAATGACCAATGTGGCAGTTTCTGTTCACATTTATAAAGAATCATCATTTGGGGAGTTGAGTTCTACCGCGAAAATGCTCACAGTAAAAAAATGGGTCCATGAGGGCGGCAACTAAATCTAGTGATTTGGTGATGTCATAATAGGGCTCTTGTTCCCCTAGAGTTTCTTGACCTTGTGGCCATAATAGGGGGATTTATAGCACAAGAACAGAGAAAAAATGGGTCAAGTTAGGTGTCATTATTGGCAAATGACTACGGTCGTCTGCCTTTAATTCATCATGACCTTACTTTGGTTCAAATTGGGATGGTTCAACTTTATCATACGATCCAGTGTTGGCATCACCTTGACTTGTCTGATCAACATTGTCGATATGATTCCAAGTCGCTCTGACTGTCTGACCCCTTTTAATTCACAGTTAAGTGCGAGCAAGCACAGTGTTCATGCACATGGACGCATTCACCCTGAAATAAAGAAACACTCGTATGATTGCAGAACTGTAGTGTGACGTCATCAAAACAGGCTTCTATTGCATGCTCCCGACGACTTGTTTTCATTTTGCCTGAAATGAGGGAGGACTTTAACTCGTGCTTTTGACTTCAGTAGCAATGTTTTACTTTTTGCCTACCGAATTGTTTTAAATATAACTAAATTTCATAAAAAGTGAAATTGTGAATTGCAAATGTGACTGATCTTTAATGGTGGAGGGCACTGTGTTGGTACTGAGCATCCTTCATGAGGCAGTGGCTCTATATTAGTTATGTTGCATTCTACTTTTGGCAAGAGCCTCTGCAAGTGATACTGTGTTCCTTTGATATTTCTAAACAGCAGCAAGTTTGATTTGTGTCTAGGTGAACAAGGATCATGCAAGATGATTGGCGGTCTGTTTATTTACAATCACAAAGGGGAGGTGTTGATCTCCAGGGTCTTCAGAGATGACATCGGGTGAGTCATCAGATCTTATTTCCATTGTCGATGTACATTAAGTCAACAGTGCCGGACTCCAAAATCTTGTGATTTTAGAGAGGTTTATAGTGTCAGTTGGGTTTTTGTTTTGGTCTGTTTTTATTTTTTGTCACTCAATTTTTGCCTTTGATTTGTAGCTTAGTTCTTACTGGCTGCGCCAATCTCTTGTTCACCTGTGCCATCAAAATGAGATGAAAAGCAATTGGAGCATGACCAGAATGGATAATACATGTATAAGGACCAGTGGGTTGCCAAATGTTAGGACCATTACAAACAAGATGAGAATCAAGTTGCTGAAGTCTCGCAGGAATCCAACAAGACTGTATGCTTCACGCTAGATCTACAGGATAGGGCAGAAGTGTTGGAGAAATCTGAATACACTAAGGGCATGCTTATGAACTGGGACTGTTTTACCATATTTTTAATTAGTGTTCACAATTCACTTTTTTCCTGGCAAAATGCTACATTGCTTTAGAAATGTACCAGGATAAGTTTTGAGAAGACTAGCTGACATGGAAAGCATTATTTTCAGTAATTATATGTATTATCATGCAACACTGTTGATCATACATGTATTTGATGTTGAATTTCAGAAAAATGTAGCTATTTTCAAGACTTAAGACAACTGTACTGAAGAGTTTGTGGTCAGTAGGGCTTAGGTGCTTGAACTCTAAGTATGGTTCTACGATTTTGTAGAGTACTTGCACTGGCAGCGGAACCGCAGGTCCTATAATTGGGCAGGGCTCAATGGATTGACCTTTTCATGGCTGATGCCTGATGGTCTAACAACTGCCCCCCCCCCACTTTGAAAATCGTTCCATCGCCAGTGAGTACTTGTTGAACATGTTGAAACCCTGCAGATTGATTCCAAAACAGCCTTTGCCAAGCAAAACTTAACTCAGTCAGCTCTCCATATTTGTCTAACCTTATTCAGTGTCCTCCGTTTTCTTTCTCTACACATGAACAGACGACATGCTGTGGATGCATTCCGTGTCAATGTCATCCACGCCCGTCAACAAGTGCGGTCACCAGTCACCAATCTGGCCCGTACCAGCTTCTTCCACATCAAGAGGGGCAACATCTGGTTGGCAGCAGTCACACGACAGAATGTCAATGCCTCAATGGTCTTTGAGTTCCTGATGAAGCTCTGCGAGGTCATGAGCTCGTACTTTGGCAAGATCAACGAGGACAATGTCAAGAACAATTTTGTCCTTATTTACGAGCTGCTTGATGGTGAGGGACATTCTTCATTTTCTTATATTACTGGAAAATTTCCTACCCTGACCCCATTTCACTTATTTCCTATTTTACGGTAAGTCACGTTTTTATCATGTTTTCAAGTGAACTCCATAGCAGCATGAACTGTGTCTTAAAAGCATATGGCTGTCTTAGATAACATTTCAGACATTCAAGATTAAGTTTTGTGGACATATTGGCTTGACTTTGAACTTTTAACATATCCAGTGAATTTTTTCATGCAGTCATCTATTCATAGCTGCAGTAGTTCTCAGAGTTTAGCACTCTACACTGTTCCAAATTTGTACTGTACATAAGTGCCTTTTTTTCTAACCAATCACCCATTCATTACATTGGCCTTGCTGATGATGTTGAGGCCTTATTCTATGCCACAGAGATCTTGGACTATGGGTACCCCCAGAATACAGATACCGGCATACTGAAGACATTCATCACTCAGACTGGAATCAAGTCCCAGGTAGGCATAGGCTTGTCAAGACTAATGCACCCTAACAGTCAGGGCACTGTGAAAACCTTCAACCTGTGGTCTTAGAAGATAGAACCAATCTTGCATTGTTGTAACTAGAACAAACCTTGGCTATGTAATGCACAGTTCTAAACAGTGTGAGATATGCATCCAAGTACAGAGCTGATTATTCCACCTTGTGGAAACTCGTTGGTTGGCTTCTGTGGTGTGTTGAAGTGCTTTTCGAGTTTATCACATTAAAGACTTTGAATCACAATCATCAGGATCACCTCAGTGGTTGTGGCTGAAACAAAGAAGTCAAACGTGAAAGATGTGAGAGGTTCTTGGACTAGGAAAGGGGTTGTACATGTAGGTATTCTTGTTATCAAGGTAATTCCAGAAATTAGGGGTCCAACAGTTTGACATTTTTGCGTCCCTGTTACATCTGACCTTTGTCATATGACGTGGAAATATCACCGGAATTGATTTCAAACTATTACTATTTGTTTGGCAGGTAATTTTTGGAAATTAGAAAATGTGTTCTGAACTTAAAAAATCATATGTCAGATGTGACAGGGATATGAAAAAAATGGACCCCTAATTTCTGAAATTACCCATTCATTTACTTCCATTGTGCCCAGTTGTCTTCTGATGGGCTGCAAGCATAGTACTGCTTTCATGTTACAGCTAATTGTCTGGTATCTATTAATTGGCTGTGTAGACTCGAGAGGAACAAGCTCAGATCACCAACCAGGTCACAGGTCAAATTGGCTGGCGCAGGGAAGGCATCAAATACAGGCGCAATGAGCTCTTCCTAGATGTGCTGGAAAACGTCAATCTCCTCATGTCGCCACAAGGTAGAAGGCACTGCCTTCCAATTTGTGTATCTTAGAGCAACGGGTGGAACCACTGAGCTTATGTTCTAAGTAATCAATGAAGTTCGTATTCCCTTTCATAGTCAGTGTGAGGTTTCTGTCAGATGGCAGTGGTCAAAATCAAACAGCAGTCATGCAACAGGTGTACAAGTATACCCTTGATGTTGAAATTAAAAGAGAAGCTACTGAACCCTTAGCACTATTGCATGTTTGCATTCATACATTTGCATATTTCTGCCCGAAGATACAACTTTTTGCACATTCTGGTGAAAAGTGCTCTTGCATTCTCTACACAGTACATGTACAAAAACAGTGTGTGCACATACCACGTAGTCACTGGTTTGCGCATCCTCTACCATCTACTGTATCTTCACAAAGCCCATATCAGAATGACTCGGGGAAAGGCCTTTATGTTCCTCTTTTGTTTCCTTGTGCATTGCATTTTTCTGACACTTTGTTTCCTTAGGGCAAGTTCTCAGTGCCCATGTTGCCGGTAAGGTGATCATGAAGAGCTACCTGAGTGGTATGCCAGAATGCAAGTTTGGAATGAATGATAAACTGACGCTGGACAAGCAAGGCAAAGGAGACAGTGATTCTAAGAGGTAAACATACCGAGACTGCACAGTCACATACTTTAATCTGTTTAACTTCCATGACATTCTGTCTTTCATGGTAGAAATTAGGTTTCTGTTTCGAGACCTTGGGATATGTTGAGTTACTTTGAAAATACCATAATTTTAGGAATATAAGCTTTACGGCGTGTAAGCCGCAGCACGTAGAAATTGGCATATCAGCCACACCAGCTTACAAGCCGCACGGCAGCGCTGACGATCCAACTAGGAAGGTCATCTTGTTGCTTGATGAAGGGCCAGTACAGCATGTACAGTACATCAATAATTCCACCACACATGCAATCCTAATAAATCTAAGCAGAGTGTGAACATGTTCCACCATTAGAATTAATTTAAAGTCCTCGACAATTAATCATTTTTGCTGGCTGGATGATCTTCCTGCATGGGCCGCGCAGCAGCTCTTGCCCTTTTTTCCAAGCAGCCAGCAAAAGTTATGCAGGCGGTGATGTACAATCTTGATAACTTGAAGTCCTTTAAGTCGAAAGACTGTTTTATCTTCTAGGCAGACTTTTTCACTCTGAAAAAATACGATTTTCATGTACGTAAATATCTCAGTAACTCAGAATGTTCACAACACAGGGGTCGAAATTAACGGTAGTCCGCTAGCCCGAGGCTAGTGGTTTTAGTGGGAGTACTAGTAGTTCCTACTTGTTGGTAGGCCGAGGGCTAGTGCCTTTTTTAGAAGGGCATGAAAAGAAATACACACCGTAAATGTAACACCATGCCGTGCAGTGGTATTTTGATTGCAGATGCATGTACATGTACATTTGTACAGCCTACCGTTACACTGTAGACACGACAGGTTCTTTCCATACACAACACGGCCCATGCGTACATGTATTCACGTCGAGCTGATACTTTACACACGTAGGCCAGCCACACGACATTGTACGCATCATACAAGTGTACGTGTGGATTTCACGGTACCCCATACACTTTAACGATTTAGTGTGCAACAAGAAAAAATGTTTTCTATTGGGCTATCGCGAAAATAATCCAGCGTTTTGTCCAATCAGCCTGCGTGTTTGAAGCGATAACAATAGTCTTTTCGAGCACGTAAGATTGATTTCTGCAGGCTGTTTCTGAAAAGAATGAAACGATTCGACCAATCGCATTGTGCGTTAGAAACAATACAATTTTCCGAGCGCACATGGATCGATACCGTCTTTTCAGATTCGCGCAATTTAGGACACGATTTGAGTGCCAAAAATCCGTCCTCTGCTAACGCAAGTATGACAAAAAATTGTGAATGTATGCTGTTTTGGGTTACTTGAACTTAAAGTTTTAATGTGAAAATCCTATATTGGCTTGCAAAAACTAAAGTGAACGTTGCTAGTCTGGGGACTAGAATCGTGGAAAGTAGCAGGGGAATAGACGAGATTTGTACTAGTTACACATACCATTTAAGCAGTTGATTTTTATTTAGTGGTAGAAAGAAACCTTCAGGTAACAGCAGAAAGAAAATCTCTGTAAAATTAGAATGAATAAAAAGTGGGAAAATAATCACAAAAATGTTGCCATCATAGCAGAGCAAGTAAAGGTTGTTATGATAACATACACACCTTATGTATGTACTTCGTGACTCCATGACTTGGAGGAATTCCATTTAATAACTCGAAGTCCAGACAACTCAAATTTTTACTTATTGTTTGATGTTTGAGTTACGTAAATGGCAACCACGACTGCGCCACCAGCACCCAGCATGTGTGGCTTTAACCCCTTCAAGGCGGGACTTTTTTGACTGTGACTGCTGGGCTGTGGTACGCCCTGAATGGAGGGCTTTGTCCAGCAGCAGGCCCCATTGAACCAGCAGCTGCATGGTGAATAGACTGTGTGGTATGCACTAATCCCACTCAGTGGTGCGATAGTAGCAGTCCTCCATAGCGAAGGGGTTAAGCCACAGAAACGTTTTTTGGCGTGAGAATCAATGTATAAGCTGCAGCTCATATTCCAAAAATTATGGTATGCAGAAAAATGGAGAGGTCCATTGAACAGAAACTCAAAAAGCCTTTTGAGAGTTAAATTGAGTAAAATTTGGTACACTGAGATCTTTAAATTCACATGAACATAACATTTGAATTCTCCATACATGTACCAAAACTGCTGTTGCTATACCTCGTGATTCAGGGTAAGTTTTGCTTAGTTACATACAAGACGCCTTGCTACAATACACTGTTCTCAATGGGCAAGATGGGCACAAAGGAACCAGTCCATTCCAGAGATAGTGGTCGCTATGCAAAAGATTGCCCCGAATTATAAGGTATTGCAACAGTGTCTTTAGTCTGTGGATTTCACATCATTATGTTTATGTGAAATCAGATAACTCGGTGTACCAGATTTTATTCAAATTTAACCGGCAAATGGCTTAATGCAGTGTACCCCACTACATTTTTCGTATTATTGGTATCAGCATTTACGTACTGAAATTGAATTTCAATATTGTGTGGTTAAAGGAAGAAGCAGCTGTAATATTGTCCTCTTGAACTCCTGGTAATTGGACTGGTTCCCTATCATGCCTATAAATCAAGCACATGAAAACTCTTAAACATTGACCAGTGAACATCCCATGGTGGTACCACACTTGGGTGTCATCGTTTTCACATGTGACATTTTTGCAGAGATATGTTTTCACTCCACACTGTTGATTTTTCGTGTCCACATTAATACCCAGCAATCAAAATTGTTTTCTGTGTTCAAGGTCAAACACTGAGAGTGTTTGGCTATGTGTGTTGGACTTGACTCTATTTTGCTGTTTAGATCTTGGCTACAACCCTGCATTAATTGGAATACAAAAGTTCTTGATTGGTCGCTCACTATGTATGTTGTTACTGCAGTAAAAGCTCCATTGCCATTGATGACTGCACCTTCCACCAGTGTGTCAAGCTGAGTAAGTTTGAATCCGAGCGCAGCATTAGTTTCATCCCTCCAGACGGTGAGTTTGAGCTGATGAAGTACCGTACTACCAAGGACATCAGTCTACCCTTCCGCTGCATCCCTCTTGTCCGAGAGGTTGGCCGCACTAAGATGGAGGTTAAGGTAGTGCTCAAGTCCAACTTCAAGCCATCCATTCTTGGCCAGAAGATTGAGGTATGTATGAGGCTAGAGTCATCAACTGATCATTGGAAGTTGTGAAATAGGGGCTCATTCAACAGTGCAATATATATGGCGGTATTGGCGTACCCTGTACATGTAGATCTTTGATGGTATGCATGGATATGCATAACACTAAGTTATTGAAGTACCCCAGGTCTCTCTACTGATCACACCACTCTTTGTTTACATGTGTGCTTTCTTATGGTGCTCACTGAACTGTGGACCCCCACCGACTTCATAGGAAAGTGCACAGGTAAAGAAAGTGTGACGTCATCAGTGCATAGGCCTGTTGAGCGCACATCCTCTAGCCAAGTGCTGCACACATTTTTTTAAATACCCCATCCCTGCTCAATGCTACAGAAGGCGGCAGTGGTGAAAGTTGTATAGTTGGAGCAGTAAATAAAAGTGGCAGAGTACACTGTGTTGTAATGGAACAGGGTCAGTGCTGGTCTTCATCCAGTGCAATGCACACACAGTGCCACAGAATCCACCAGTGTGTTTTTGATAAAGTCTGAACATTGCATTCAGAAGGGTTCTCATTTTAGCTGTGTTGCATTCTGTTGCATTCAAAAGCCCAGCAGCAGGGTTCTCATTTCAGCTACCGATGTGTTGCATTCTGTTGCAGTCAGGGGGTCCTCATTTTAGCTGTGTTACATTCTGTTGCATTCAAAAGCCCAGCAGGGGGGTTCTCATTTCAGCTGCTGGTATGTTGCATTCTGTTGCATTCAGGGGGTTCTCATTTCAGCTGTGTTGCATTCTGTTGTATTCAGGAGAGTTCTCGTTTCAGCAGTGTTGCATTCTGCGGCATCGAGG